CTTCCTTCCTTCCTTCCTTCCTTCCTTCCTTCCTTCCTTCCTTCCTTCCTTTTTGGCTGCGTTAGGTCTTCGTTGCTGCGCACAGGTTTTCTCTAGCTACAGCAAGCGGAGGCTACTCTTTGTTGCAGTACGCGGGCTTTTCGTTGCGGCATGCAGTCTTCTCATTGCGGTGGCTTCTCTTGTTGCAGAGCATGGGCTCTAGGCATGTGGGCTTAGTAGTTGTGGTGCACGGGCTTAGTTGCTCCACGTCATGTGGGATCTTCCTGGACCAGGGACCGAACCCGTGTCCCCTGCACTGGCAGGCAGATTCTTAACCACTGCACCACCAGGGAAGTCCCTCAGAGTCTGTGCCTTTAATTACAAAGCTATGCCCCCTGGAATTGAAGAGCTCTAGCAAACAGGCTGTCTTCTTTCTCACCTCCCAGCCTTTGTGTAAGACCCTCCCTCCCTGGGACACTGTCCCCTGGCACCCCTTTCATCTGGCTCACTCTACTCATCCTTTAAGTTGCCATGGCCTCTTCCTGACCCCCAGGCTGGGTCAGGAGCCCCCCGAGTTCCCAGAGCTCCCTGTGCTGTTCCCACCAGAGCCTTTGCCAGTGGGTACAGTGGGGGCTGCTTTCTCTCCATGCACCCTTTGAGCAGGAACCTCTCATGCATCTTGGAATGCCGAGCTCATGGCAGGGACCTGGCCCTGCGAATGTTTGTGCAATGAGTGATTATCAGCACAACTAACCCTCTACAGTAAGTCCCCTACATATGAATGAGTTCCGTTCTGAGAGTACGTTCGTAAGTCCAATTTGTTCATAAGTCCAACAAAATTAGCCTAGGTACCCAACTGGCACAATTGGGTACAATTGGCCATAGAGTACTGTACTATAATAGGTTTATAATACTTTTCACACAAATAATACATAACAAACAAATGCAAAAAATAAAGAAAACATTTTAAATCTTACAGTACAGTACCTTGAAAAGACAGTAGTACAGTATACTACTTGCATACCGGGGCTGGCATCGAGTGAACAGGCAAGGAGAGTTACTGACTGGAGGAGGGAGAGGAGGTGGGAGATGGTAGAGCTGAAGGATCGTCAGCAACAGGACACGGAGGGCAAGCTGCAATGTCACTCACGCCTGACGCTGATGGCACAGGTTCTGGTTCCTTGCTGGATTCAATTCTATCTACCCTCTTGAGAAAATGATCCAGTGATGTCTGGGTAGTAGCTCTTTTTCTTCTCATCATAGATGACGTGGTAACATTGGATTGCATTCTGAACTGTTGCTGCAACCTTCCTGTACCATTCTACATTCAGGTCCTGTGCCTCAAAAACTAACAGTGCCTCCTCAAATAAAGAAAATCCCCTTGCCATTTCTTGTGTCGTGCATCTCTTCAGTTCTTCAGTTACTTCTTCTTCCTCTTGTCTCTCTTTGTCCTTTCTGTGGGCCTCCAGTTCCATCAGGTCTTCATTAGTAAGCTCCTCATGTTACACAGCAAGTTCAATGAAGTCATCCTCTTGCAAATCTAGCCTGAAATAAAGATACTGTACTACCGTACTCTATACAATACTGTACAGTAGAGTATACAAAAGCATAGCTACTTGTAGAGGATGCGCGCACATGACAGTGTGCATGTGAACTAACTTATGTGATTGGACATTTGAACGCACGTTCGCATCTTTGAAAGTTCGCAACTTGAAGGTTCGAATGTAGGGGACTTACCGGACTTTGTTAAGGTTGAGTGAATTCCTGGGACCAATCTATCAATAGGCATTTATTAGGCACCTGCTGTGTGCCTCGCGCTGCACAAGTATACTGGGAGAAATAACAGTAATGAATGTTCAGTTGTGGTTTGCCTGGCGAGGGTCATCATGGCCAGGCGAGGTCGGCAGGGCAGTGAGGTCTGCCGCCCAGCTTTCACTTCAGATCCTCTGCCACTTTTCCTTCTTCTCCTCCAGCCTCGCTAGCCTCCAGCCCTGCTTTCTTCCACCTTCCTGATTACATCGGTTCAAAGGAAAGGACCTGCAAACTTGTTTACTTAAGGGGCAGAGACTGATCTTAAGGGGGTGGATTATGTCTCCCAGCAGGAGAGAGATGATTCTCCTCACTTAACAGATGAGAATTCTGCTACTCTGGGGGAGAGGAATGAAGTAGATGGAATCATAGGCTGTTGGTGTGGGTTGCATCCTTGGGAACCCCTGGATTCTTTCTTCTAAATTTATCAATGAACCAAAACTAGAACCCCAGTTCTCTAACTGCTGGTTTGTTGGCTTCTCCAATTGAGTATCCTTGTCCCCAGATCCCATAGTCAGTCCACTTCACAGACAAGGACTCCTGGTTCTAAACTGCATTCTACTGTTTTACTACTCCACTGCCTTTCAACCTTTGATCTGAGTGAGTTTATGAGAGCACATCACAGTGTTCAGGCGCTGTGTCAGGCAGTCAAAAGGCAGGGGTTCTAACCCTGTCCCACATCAGTCTTCCAGATTCAGTGTTGTTACCTCTGTATCAAGACAAGGAAACTGGTCAGAGAAAGCTAAGAACCGGTGAAGAGTCACAGGCAGGTCCCCAGGTCCACACGCTCTCCGCTTCCTCGGTCCATGCCGTGCTTTGGCCCATAGTGGGGGACGGCATTTCCTCTCCACTCTGACTTTCTCCGACATTCCTCCTCATACTTCTCTTCACTTACCACCCCCTCCCACACCAAATACAAGTGGAGGATCTCCTCCTAGTTTCCTGATCAATAGGAAAGACTCCTGTTGAACAGTATCTGACCTCAAGCCAAGCAATGAGTCTAAAACCTCTGCTTTCCCTGCCCCATACTCACTCTGGGTGGCTGCAGCCTCCGGTCTGGCTTTGTTTCCTCTCATCCTTTTATTAGCTGCCTCATCGGCAGCCCAATTAATCTGCTCATCTGTGAAGGAGGATGGCTCACAATGAGCTCCTCCGTTTCCAGAAGCCATCCTCTGAGGCAGCACGGCCAGGCCCTGAGCACAGGCTGGCTCCTTGACGGAGGGCTGCCCCAGGAGCCAGGGTCAATTAGTGGACAGATTAAGCAATTACTAGCCCCTAACAAGGGTGCCTGGCATCATTACCCTGCCTGTTTACTGGCAAACTACAGCTTTCATATGAAGACCAACAAATAAATTAGGGCATCTGGTCGACTGCCGCTTCGGCGGCGAAGTAAATGATGTCCAACTGGCTCTCGGCTGCCCGTGGATTCTCAGCCCCGGCCTAATGAAAAGCCCAAGATGTCCCTCACTGGCCATGGCAGCTCTGGAATGTGCCTCTGAGCGACTTTTCATTCCAAGGGCTAAGTGCCTGCCACTGGGCCTGTGGCTCGTTCTTAGTTATCCCGCTGCTTCCTCCTGTCTGGCTGTCAAAACCTACTTATCTTTCAGGGCCCAGCTCAAAAGCTTCTCTCTCCTTGATGCCTTTCCTGCTCTCTCCAGCAGGAGAGGAGTTCTCCTTCTGTACTTTGGGAGGGTTTTGTACTCTCCTGTCACTTTCCAGCATTACAGGAATTTCATGGAATGCCAGAGCTCCATTTAGCCTACTTTTCTCGGGTCTCTGATGAATAAGTAGAAATGTGGAGAAAAGGAGGGACAAGGCAAGGACTCAGTTCTTGTTTTCTCACCCGCTTTCCTGTAGATGTATGCGGGCGATCGCCAGGATATCAACGACAGCAGTGACAGAGTCAGGTTTGCCCTTCAGGACAATCCCTCTGGCTATAGGGATGAGGGCTCATTCTAGAGGTGGCTGCTGTCACCTAAGTCAGATGTGGTTGTTCTCCTCCAGGCCAAGTATGATGGTGGCTTAGAATAGAAGAGAGGCAGAGGGATGGAGATGAGGGGCAGATCTGCTAGCTTCGAGGAAGAGACTTGGAGACCCCCTGAATGTGGAAGGAGGGTCATGGAGAATTCAACTCTTCTAAATCTGGTGACCTGAAGGCGAGGTAGTTGTTGGTGCCAGTGAGAAGCAGAGAGGGCAGCCAGCCCCAGAGTCTGGGAACAGAGGACCCTCAAAGTGGGGAAAGGAGCAGGCTTGGGGGCATTGACAAAACCTCCCTGTCCTCTTGTGACTTCTCCTTTGTGTTTCCTGGTGCACCCATCAGCCGCTTGAGGACCGAGACCCCTAAGGTCCCTGACTCCATCGTCATCCAATCTGATGGCAGCCTTTAGCCAACAGCGCATCCATTAGGGAGCAGCTCTAAAGTTATTGTTTACAGTTATCCTGCCTCTCCCCCATCTCTGTCTGTCAAGACCCAGGGGCCCCTCCAAGGCACAGCTCATATGCTGTCTTTTCCTGGAGGCCCACCCTGTGCTCTTTAGCAAGACATGCTCTCCCCCAGCCCATGAGCTTCAATATTACATCTTGAACTGTCTCTTGGAAACAGAGATATTATTTGTAAAATTCACTGGGCAACACCTAATCCACAGCCGTACATTCACAGTGGCTAACAACATAGGCCCGAATCACCTGTTGAGCTGTGTTTTCCCAGCTGAGGGCAATGTGCTCCTCCTTCCTGAAACACTTTGAGGTTAACCCAGGTGCTTCTCTTTCTCCAGGGATCATTGACTTCCTCATAAGCCAGCACCCTGTTGCTCGTGCCCTACGGGAACACCTGGTCTTCAAGATTGCACCCATGCTCAACCCTGATGGCGTCTACCTGGGCAATTACAGGTGAGGGACGGGAGAGAATGCTTGGATGGTGGTGTGGAAGCAGGAAGAAAAAGGGGAAAGGTTTTTGAGGAAGAATTTTCAGACGACCCATGAGTTCATTAGAGGAAGTTTCACTCTGGCCCTTGAGAATATGACTAATGGGCCTTGGCTGTTTCGTTCACAGTCACCTGAGGTCACTTGCTGGAGTTTTCTGGGCAGCTTGCCGGACCAGGAATCAGGGGACTTAATATCAGTTTTGGCACCTACTTCCTGCGTAACCTTGGGGAATTCACTTTCCCTCTCTGATGCATTGCAGTTTCTCTTGCATAATTAAGACAATAATTACTTACCTGGCAGGGCACTTGTGAGCATCAAAGGAAATGGTGGCAATGAACGTGCTGTGCAGAATATCATATGGTGGTGATAAGCGTTACTGTTTTGTTTCCGGGTTTCTTCTTGGAGATTATTAATGAACGAGAGTAGCATCCCAGATCACGTGAACGGCATTTTGATTTGGTGTGGGCATACCGGCTAGCCCCACACTCACTCAGGCACTCACATCTTGAGCTCTTTCTCCTGGCTTAGTACCATAATTTACAGCCGAAAATTCCACTACCCGGGGAGCCATCTGCTGAGAGAACATTGAATCCTCTGAGAGCGTTATTACCCTTATTTCACGGTTGAGGCAACAGACTGGCCCAAAGTCATACAACCAGTAAATCATTGACTGTCTAACTTCACTGCATAAATTATACAGCTTGAGAGTTGATTAGTCCCACAACTCTCAAGGTAACATTCAAACTCCCCGGCTTTGACACAAAGCTGTGTGTGACCTGGTGCCTCACCTCCCACCCTCTGGTCATAGAACTGTTGCTCTGCTCACGCTAAGGGAGGCCTGGTTCCTTACACAGGTCCTGTTGGTGCCTGATACCTTACCTTCATAAAGACCCTCTGTCCAGAACCTCCTGGTCCCTTCCTCATTTCACTAACCCTTCCTCACAGCTCAGCTCATGCCTCTTCTTCTAGAAAACATTTTGCAAACCCCCAAACAGAATTGGTCCTTCCCTTCTCTGAGCTCCCACAAGCCTGGCTACTGAACATGTCTTATCCTATTGCACGGACCCCACTGGTCCTAAAGCCACCGGAGGGAAAGCACTGAGCCTTAATGGTCCTTGTGTCCCCAGTGCCTGTCAGCAGGGATCAGCACATAGTAGATGCTCAAAAAGAATTTGGTGGATATGAGAGAAGGAAAGGGATGACTTTACTGAGGAAGGCGCTGAGGCTCAGGTATGAGATGGGACTTGCCCAAGTTCAGTGGCAGAGCTCAGACCAGAACCCACATTGCCTGACATCCCATCAGGCCCATTTTAAACAGAGCTGGTTTCATGCTTTCCCAGAATGTGACAGTTGGGTCCACAGGGGCTTCCCAGTACCCCTGGGTATGAGTTAGAGAGAACCCATGGGATGCATGATGCCTTAATTAAAGACAGTTTTGCTTCCTCTCTTAACTGGCTCAAGCGATGGCTCATTAGCCCTGGCAGGTTTTATGGCTGCTGCAGGCCTGGGAGCAGTGCCTTTCCACCTTCGCTGGACAGAATACACTGTTAGTGATAATGTTGGTGGAAGGACCATTTGATTGATGTTAACGTTTATGTTTAATTACAAGAGCGGCCGTGGTCAGAGAGAGGTCAGGACTGTTCACTACACACACTTATTTATGTCATCATCTGCTGTCCCGGGATGACCAGTTGGAAAGAGGTCTGTGACCTTGGCCAAAATGCCTCCCCTCCCTGGGCTTCAGATGGCCAGGGGGCTGGTGCTGGGAGGCTGGCTGCTTCCTACATGCCCTCAAGCTGTCCAAATTTTGTGATTTAGGGATTTCAGGATAAAAGAGCTCCACTCCTCAGAAACGGTTCTGTACCGAAGTTTAAAAGCCCCGCGTTCTCCTAGTGAGAATGTGTGATTCTCGTTATGAGAGTTGAAGAAAATCTCTAACCACAGGCATTAGTCCTGTTGCTAAAATAGCTGAGTAGCAACAAAGAGCCTAGCATGAGCATTCACCATTCAAGTCTGGGAGAATGTAAAAAATAGTGATCAAGACTCCAGATGGATAACTTCAAGGTGCCTTAGAGGTCCTGTAGGCCAGCCCCAGCACGGTGTCCCGTGGTTTGGCTGGGATTGTCCAGGCATTATGGGGGAAGAAAGATTTGGAGTTCAAGTGAATTTGGAAAACACAGAGTTAAGCAAAATTAAACAAGTTCTTTCACAATAAAACTTTTCAGTTTTTATTTTTGCGGTACGCGGGCCTCTCACTGTTGTGGCCTCTCCCGTTGCGGAGCACAGGCTCCGGACGCGCAGGTCCAGCGGCCATGGCTCACGGGCTCAGCCGTTCCGTGGCATGTGGGACCTTCCCGGACCAGGGCACGAACCCGTGTCCCCTGCATTGGCAGGCGGACTCTCAACCCCTGCGCCACCAGGGAAGCCCAACTTTTCAGTTTTGAATATGCTAATAAACGGGAATCCCAAGAGGGGAATATAGTGTCCAGTGTTCCCCAGAGGAACCCTTTTCATAAAGAGCTCACTACCCCTCCAGCCCGTCACCCGCTCCACCACTACCCCGTCCCCAGAGGCAGCAGGGTTTCTGAAACCCAATCTGGGAAAGGCCACTACGAGAATTCCGCTTGCCACCCAGCACCGTGTGTCAGGCGTTCACACACTTATTTGATCCTCATAGCAACTCTATGGAGGAGGGTCTCTGAAGCTTTCTCTGCTCACAGATAATAAAAACCTACTCCGATTAGCGTGAGTACAGGAGGAAAAGCCGGAGGGAGTCGGGGGGAGGAGCGAAAGACAGAAGACGGCCAGTGGGAAGGAAGGATGCTTGTCAGAACCTCCGGGCAGCACACAGAACCCCACTCACAGACCGCCTCGCAGCGCTGGGGTCAGCCCCACCTCCATCACGTGCTCCCTGACCTTCACTCTCTACACCTCCCCTCAGGACGTGCAGTCTCTCAAGCCTCAGTGATGTTGAATAAATAACCTGCCTAAGTCGTGTGGCCTGTGAGGAGTGGGCAGGTGTGCAGGCGTGCCCCAGCCGAGCTGTGCTCCTGGGCTGTCCTATACCAGCTGCTGGTACCACACACGCCAGACCCAGTGGAGAGCAGCAGGCAGGCCTGTCCTGCAGGCGCCTCTTTTCCTCCGACCCTGCTTCCTCTTCCTCCTTCTCCTTCCTCCACATTAAAGAACCATATAATCTAGTCTAGGAAGGAGAGTAAGACTTCCCAGATTTGATCACGCAAAGCTTTTATTTAATAATACAAGTACCGGGCTTCCCTGGTGGCGCAGTGGTTGAGAGTCCGCCTGCCGATGCAGGGGACGCGGGTTCGTGCCCCGGTCCGGGAAGATCCCACATGCCGTGGAGCGGCTGGACCCGTGAGCCGTGGCCGCTGAGCCTGCGCGTCCGGAGCCTGTGCTCTGCAACGGGAGAGGCCACAGCAGGGAGAGGCCCGCGTACAGCAAAAAAAAGATAAAAATAAATAATAATAATAATACAAGTACCTATTCCATGGTATTTATAGTAGAATAGACAAGGTGCACTCTAGCAGTTAATGGCCGATGATGACAGCTGTCCCATGAGAGAGAATGCATTTTATGTAAGAGAGCAGCAGTGTTTACTTACTACACTACTGTACGTGCTCCCAGACTCCGGCTTATGGGAGGAGTAGAGAGGGCCAAAGTTACAGCAACCACAGTGCACTCTCCAGTGGCCCTCTAGGACAGTTAGATGGTGTAACGGTAGAAACAATGATACTACGGCATCTAATAAAAACACAGAACGACTATACCCTCGTCTCACTTACTACACTCCAGCAACACTGGCCATTTTTTTCAGTTCAGGTCTGAGGTTTAATGCCACTCACAGAAAGGCCTGCCTAGATTCTGCAAAATGAATTCGGTCTCCCATTACACTCTTTCAGAGCACTCTGTACTGTCCTTTCAGAGCCCTGGCCCCAATTCGTAATCACGTGACTATCTATTTAATGACTGTCTCCACCTCTAGACGATAAACTCCGTGAAGTCAGGACTTCATCCCCAAAGCCTGGCATGGTGCCCAGCATAGAACTGGCCTTTGATATATATTATCTGAATGAATACATACACACCACAGCAGTGTTTCGCAACTGTGCCATGGCACGGAGCTCCAGTCCCCAGGCAAAGTAGTCATCGCCACATGCCGTCAGCTCCCAACCCTTTACTTTCAGCAACACGGCCTCCTAACCCCAGTTGTTTTGATTTTATGCTGTTGTGATATAAATACTATGATGAGCTGCTGTAGTGATTTAGAGAACTCTGGGTTCAGAGGCACACTTCGTTATTGTATATTACATCCAAAAACCACCTTTCATCATTACCGCGACTCTCTGAGAAAGTCAGTTTTTATTGTACCCATTTGAGCAAAAGGGAAACCAAGTCTGCAGAGGTGAAGAGCCCGTTCAAGGTCCTATGGTGTGTCCAGGACTCTCCACACTCCCAGACACTGCCTGTGCCTTACAAGCTGGAGGTGGAAGCAGAGAACTAGCAGGCTAACTTTCCCCGCTCTCCTGAGTCTTCTAGTCTTGGGGCAAGACACTTCTCTCCCCTGGCCTCAGTGTCCCCCTGCCCTGTTGGAAGAGGAAAATGAAGTGAAAGGCACACTTCGTCATTTAGTAGAAGTACTAGGGAGAGGCTCTGTCAAGAATGGTACAGCGGGGCTTCCTTGGTGGCGCAGTGGTTGAGAGTCCGCCTGCCGATGCAGGGGACACGGGTTCACGCCCCGGTCCGGGAGGATCCCACATGCCGCGGAGCTGCTGGGCCCGTGAGCCATGGCTGCTGAGCCTGCACGTCCGGAGCCTGTGCTCCGCACGGGAGAGGACACAGCAGTGAGAGCCCCGCGTACCGCAAAAAAAAAAAAAAAAAAAAAGAATGGTACAGCTATAGCATGGATGAACCTTGGGGACGTTATGCTAAGTGTAATAAGCCAG